AACCCAGACATGTCCATTGGATTGGCAGACAGAGAAGCATGATTTGTTACTCTAGAGAACACGTCTCCACTGCTCTAGAGTCCAGTGGCGGCATGCTTTACACCACTGCATCAGACACTCTACATTGCACTTGGTGATGTAAGGCTTGGATGCAGCTGCTCGGCCATGGAAACCCATTCCATGAAGCCCTCTATGCACTTTTGTTGTGCTAATCTGAAGGCCGCACAAAGTTTGGAGGTCTTTAGCTATTGACTCTTCAGACAATTGGCGACTTCTACGCACTGTGCACTTCAGCATGCGCTAACCCCGCTCTCATTCTACGTGGCCTACCACTTCATGGCTGAGTTGCTGTTGTTCCCCGTTGCTTCCACATTGTTATAATACCACCAACAGGTGACTGTGGAATATTTAGCAGCAAGGAAATTTCACGGATGGACTTATTGCACAGGTGACAACCGATCACGGTACCACGCCTGAATTTATTGAGCTCCTGAGAGCAACCCATTCTTCCACAAATGTTTGTACAAGCAATCTGCATGCCTAGGCGCTTGATTTTATATATCTGTGGCCATGGAGGTGATTGGAACACCTTAATCCAATAATTTGGAGGAATGTCCCAATACTTTTGGCAATACACTATATATATATGTGACATTGAAAAAATATCATTGTAAAACAAACTAAAAATAATAAATATTTTCTTTTATTGTGAAAAGGAAGTCAGCAGAGTCAGCTGTGGCCAGTTTAGATTAGCTCTGGCTAAATAATGTAAAAAGTAATTTACAGCCCTTGTTGGCTGTACCTAACTAAAATATAGCAAACTTTTAACATTGTAAGGCTACGTTCACACTAGCCTTGTTTTCAAGTGGCAGAAAGCCGTTTGGGAAGCGTTTTTTACCGCTTCCCAAACACCTCGGACAATTCTGCCCATTGCAGCACATGGTGCTGTTCTACTGGAAGCGGTAGCATCGCGGCACGTAGCGGTGCGGCAAAACGGATGCCTCTTGTTGAGTCAGGAGGCGTTGAAGCCTCCTATTCTAGCCTATGGTGCCGCTCCGCAAACGCCCGGCCGGCGTTTGCGGTGCAGTTGCGACACGGTTGTGGGGCGTTTGCAGAGCGGTAACACCATCCAAACTTCATTATAGGCATTTGTGGGGTGTTTTTAATGCTTGGAAAACACCTAGCAACCGCCGCTGAACCGCGCATGCAGCGTTTGCGGAGCGTTAAATAACGTTCCGCAAACGCCGGACCAACGCTTGCCAAACGCTATAGGGGCGTTTGGAACGAGTTGGTAAAACAGTCAGTGTGAACGAGCCCTAACTAGTATCAATTACACAGATTACAACATAGTGTTACAGTAATCCATGCAGAAAGCCACTGATACAGGATGCACTAGGTTTGTAGGGTAATACAGGGTGTATCATAAAGTCTAGTAGTCCCAGGCATTTTTTTTTTTCTTTAGTTTGGATTAGAGCCTCTGTCCAATGCGAATTGTTGTATGCGTCCCTGTTAGGTTAGGTTCACACTAGCCTATGCTCTGAAAAGCAGTCTGCAGTAGATTGCCGTAAAGTTTAACCAGTCAGTTAAACCCCAAAGGCCAGCTTACCCATTCGCTATTGAATGCAGCAGTGATCCTTCACACCTCTGGGATAACATTACTGACTTAATAAGTAGTAGAAGAATTTACTGACATATAGTACATCCTTGTTAGGGTAATGATGTAGCACAGTGGATCCCTATACTGATTGCGGCCCTCTCATGAGTTCTATATAGGAAGTGAACTGATATGTGCTATTTCCATCCACTCCACCAGTTCACTGTATTAAATGGGTTTGCCAGCAAAGTGACTAGCTAATAGTTCTGACCTTACTCATTCCTAATTAAGCGTAGAGAAGACATTTTAGGCAGCTGTGATGGTTTCAGCAGTTTAATTATCCAGAGTTTCCTGTTCTGAGAACATGACTGTTTATATGTAACAGTACATGAATTAAACTGCTGTAAAGGTGCACCAGAACCATTTACTTTAGTGTAAGGATGAACTAAAACCTATACCACAAGAAATATGTAGGCTGCACCCACATAGAAGAAAAATATTAAAAAAAATCTTAAGAATATATTTTTAAAAAATATATATTTTAACAAATATATATTTTTTAAATATATTCTTCAGATTTTTTTAAAATATAAAAAAGTAATTTTAACATATATTTTTACATATATTTGTAAATGCATTCCAAAAATGTAAATTTGTATTTTTAAAGACATATAGTATATTTTAAATGTATTTCTAAAAATATCTTTCATATATTTTGTAATAAAAACACATTTCAACATGCAGTATGTATATATATATATATATATATATATATATATATTTATTGAAATATATTTTGAAATATATTGAATATGGCCAAATTTTAGCATTTCAAATATATGGCAATATATTTGGGAAAAATATTTTTAAAATATATTTCAAATATATTTTTCTTCCATATGGGCATTGCTAACTTGTCCTCTTGAAATGGCTTCGACTTTTTCACTGATCTGAAAAAAGTCTGAAAATCTTTAGCTCTGGCTTTCTAATCTGCAAACTTGTTGTGTTTAGTGATTTTTGGCTCCATTCACACCTGTGCAACAACAAATTGAAATCCATTTAACATTATCTTTTATGGGGCCTGTTCACATATACGGTATGCATTTTCCTGCAGTGCAAGAGGTACAGGCAGGTGTGATTTTGGTGTGATTTTGGCCCCTTTGGCTTCAACGGGAGCGCATGAAAAAAAAAAGTTGAGTTTTGTGTTTAACAACAAGTCTCCCCCTCCCACAAAAAAAAATGAATGAAGCTTGAAAATTCATCACAAATGCACCTGAAAAAATGCAGAAAAACACACTAAGAAAACTTATGATTTTACTACATCACTAGTGCGCACCTAGCCATAAAGGAGTTGTAAAGGTAAGAGGCTTTTATACCTTCATGCATTCTCTGCATGAAGGTAAAAAAAAATTCAATAGTAGCTCCCCCATCAGCCCCCCCTCCCCCCAAATTCTCACCTAAGCCCAATCCAGCGCTGTGTACACTTGCAGCAGTTCATGGCCCTTCTCCCCACTCTCTCAGGCTTGGCTGAGAGCAGTGGTAACTATTGGCTCCTGCTGCTGTCAGTCAAAATCTGTCAGCAGAGAGTGAGCAGCTGGGCTGTGTATCTGAATGGAAGCAGATTCCTATAGGGCACTCGTGGGAGGGAGGAGCCAGAAGCCCTGGTGAGGGACCCCTGAAGAGAAGGATTGGGGCTGCTCTATGCAAAACCATTGCACAGAGCAAGTAATCATGATATGTTTGGTATTTTAATTAAAAAAATAAACATATGGAGCTCCACAATCACTCTTACCATTTTTAAGGTCCTCTATCTTGCCCCCCCACTTAATTTTATTTAAAAAGTAAAAATTTTTACTTTTTTTTTTTTACTTCCTAAATCCCGGCCTAGGCCCGGATGATGTCACAGAACTTCCATGTCTCTGGTAGAGACCCTGCAGGGTGTTTAAACCTGCATGACATCTTGCAAACTGCCTCATGGGTTGTGTGACTTAGTCGTCCCATGAGCTATTTGAGTAGTACATACACCATGGGGTCCCATGCACACACACATACACCATGGGGTCCCATGCACACACACATACACCATGGGGTCTCATGCACACACACATACACCATGGGGTCTCATGCACACACACATACACCATGGGGTCTCATGCACATACATACACCATGGGGTCTCATGCACACACACACATACACCATGGGGTCTCATGCACACACACATACACCATGGGGTCCCATGCACACACACATACACCATGGGGTCTCATGCACACACACATACACCATGGGGTCTCATGCACATACATACACCATGGGGTCTCATGCATACACACGCACATACACCATGGGGTCTCATGCACACACATACACCATGGGGTCTCATGCACACACACACATACACCATGCGGTCTCATGCATACACCATGGGGTCTCATGCACATACACATACACCATGGGGTCTCAGGCACACACATACACCATGGGATCTCATGCACACACATACACCATGGGGTCTCAGGCACACACACATACATCATGGGGTCTCATGCACACACATGCTGTGGGTATATCTGTCAGTCCTAGTAGAGACTCACAGCATATCTGTGCATGCCCAGATCTCAATTAAAGATGGCAGTGATGGAGAAGAGGCGCAAAAGGAGAACCTTTGCTTTGAGCAAGACATCTCTGATCTCCATGGTCTAGTAAGTATGACGGGAACAAGTGTTGGGGATGTTTGCATTTTTGGGGGGCTTAGGCAGAGCAAAGTTCCTCTTTAAATGACTGAAACCAGATACAGCCAAGCTACAGACATTTTCATGATTATCAAGAGCATGATTAATAGCAGCCTCTGCATTTTTCTCAGCACAGACTTCCTTCACGGAGGCCCTCTCAGATCCTCAGTGCTGACCCTTATTTGTCAAAAGCAAACTGGTCCGCAGGTTCAGTTGCCCCGTATTCTCCACTGTAAATGGTAGCTTTTGTTTTCTTTTAATTAAAGTGTTATTGAACCCAGGATCCTGCCTTCACTATATCTGGTGTCCCACAGTACACAGAACATGGAAGTGCAATTAATTGGGCAGCACAGTGGCTAAATGGTTAGCACGTCCGCCTGGCAGCACTAGGGTCATTGGTTCAAATCCCAGCAACGGCACCACCTGCCTGGAGTTTGTGTGTTCTCCCTGTGAGGGTTTCCTCCATTTACTCCAGTTTCCTCCCACACTCCAAAGACATGCTGGTAGGTGAACTGGATGCTGTCTAAATTGTCCCTAGCATGTGTATTTATGAATGTGAGTTAGGGACCTTAGATTGTACACTCTTTGAGGGTTAGGGACTGATGTGAATGTACAATATATATATGTGTAAATTGACGGTGCTATATAAGTACCTGAAATAAATAATTATTTTAGTCAATACAAACTGCTAAATACCTTTTCTCATCAGCAGTTAGAGCAGTCTTGTGATTCCTATCAGTGTCCAGCCAAGCACTGGTTAAAGCTTGTAGGAGGAGTTTTTATTTTGATCTAGGAGGATGCAGAACCCCTGACCTCTGTCTTGACAGTGCTGATTGGCCCTGTGCTGATCACATGCACTCTCCTAAGAAAAAAAAACACTCTAGCAATACACACCAAACTGAGCATATGCAGAGTGACTCCACACGATGTGTCTTATCAAGAGATATGAGGGGGACACTGGAGGAAGGGGAGGATCATAGACATCAGGATCAAACAGCGTTTTTACACAATGAAGAGGATTAACCCTTAGGTTCCACAGTGAGTATAACAAGCATGCTTTACTACATATACAGACTGGTTTTAATGTTGTGGATTTAGTAACACTTTTAAAACAGTGGAGACTAACTTGAGGCATTGTGGATAATAATTCCTCATAAAAAGATAAGCACAATGAAAGATACCTATAGCCAAAATATAGTTGTGGACTTCCTGTGCCTGCAATTCATTTCTCTCGTCAGCTGAATATAGACTATTTTAGTCTATTCTTTGAAGCACCTCATTGTAAGACCTTTCCCCATGGTGTTATAATACAGGGGTTCCAGCACTGTGAATTCTCATTATTTGTATGACTATTTGTATCCCACAGGACTCTATTTTTAACTTATTATCATTCTAACACAGGAGACCATCACATGTCTTTCCTCATTACCTCCCAAAATAATAAACCTCTTGTCTCTACTCAGATAAACTCCTACAGGCCTTTTATCTGTATAGCAAGGCCACAGCTATTATGATTAATTATGTTTTGGCTGCTAGCTCTTCATATTCTCTGCAATTAGTAAGAAAAGCAGATAAAACTTTGAAAATAATTTAAAGTTGCATGCAAAAAATAATGTACTGCGTACTCTGGGGGCCACATATAAGGCCAAGTCAGATAGGTGGTTTATTCACAGCGATTTTTTTTTTTTTTTTTCTCGCTAAGGAAATCATAATTATTTTCAATATGATCAATAACTTTCTCATTTTACAGTGATTTGTATCTTATTTGCACAACAATTGAGTTTTTGCAGATTTTCATGTCGGGGACAAGACCGAAAGCAGCAATTCAGCTCTATGGGATGGCTACAGATCACTGAAGGAGAGCGATTTTTTAGCAGCAAACACTAATGTAATAATGTAGCAAATGTTTGACCTGAAATTGAAAAAAAAATTGCTTTTTTGCAGCAGATTACTGACAACTATAGCTAGCTACAAATTGCTGTTATTTCTTTTTTTATGGTTAGGGCCAAAAACTAAACGTGTTTAGTAAGATAAATATAAAATATTGCATAGTATTTACATTTTAAACTGCAAGTGAAGCTTTTTTTTTATGTTTCCTAGATTAGTCTTGCCTGAGTTGCAGGGGAAAAAAAAAGTTTGATAGCTCAAGTTCACATTTACTGAATCAATCGGAACATTGACTCCCCTCCCTATTCCTATTTGTCTCTTCAAATGGGGTGAAATGAGGTTTCAGTTACAGAGAACCAGTCTAGAAATGAGCAGCTTTACTTTTTCTTTAGAAACATAATGTTCTGTGATTCTTGTGTAATGGGTGTAGTCTGTATTATACTGTATGTTTAACCACTTGCCCTCCAGAGGATTTACCCCCTTTTCTGATCAGGCCATTTTTTGCGATACGGCGCTACGTTACTTTAACTGACAATTGCACGCTCATGCAACACTGCACTCAAATTAAATGTACGTCCTTTTTTCCCCACAAATAGAGCTTTCTTTCAGTGCATTTTTTATTTTTTGCGCTATAAACAAAAAGACCATCAATTTTGAGAAAAACACAATATTTTGGACTTTTTTTATATTAACCACTTCTGCGCCGCCCTATAGCAGAAATACTGCTACAGGGTGGCACGGGTGTGCAAAATCACATGTATATGTGTAATTTTGCAGTTCCTACTCACGCCGTCATTCACGGCCTCAGCTGTCAATCATCGGGTCCCGGCTGGTAATTACTCGCCGGCAACTGTGATCGCCGAGTATCTCCGACGGGGGAAAGACCTGTGTATAAACAACACAGATCTGTTCCCTATCAGCTGCTGCACACTGCTTTGTATGGGGCCCCTGTGTCCTTTCCCAAACTCAAAAAAGCCTATAAAAAAGGTTCCAGGGGCATCTCATGGGGCCCCCTACTTACCCCGGGCCCTCGGGCAGTGCCCGAGTTTCCAAATGGTCAGTCCGTCCCTGGTAGGGCCTGTGGCTTGAAAAACTTGAGTGTAGCAAGCATCAAAATATCTTGGGCAGGATGCTGTGGAGAAATGGGTTTCCTGTAAGCAAGCAATATCTACATGACGTGTCCTGAGATACTTAAATACCTTCACCCTCTTTTGGGGGGGAATTCATCTCCTGGACATTTAAGGATAACCAATCTAGTGCCATGGCGCTGAAGAAACGAGAACCCCGAAGAAATGAGAACCCTATCGTGAACCCCGGGGACCCTGGAAAAAAATAAACACAAACAAAAAACAGAAAAGGGAAGAATAAAAAAGAGAAAGAAGTAGAAGGAGAAAAGGAGGAGATGAAAAGAACTGTATACTGTATAACCAATATATAGTTGGCTCAAAAGGTATATTACAAATATAATTGCATTGTGCTGTGGGGGGTTACACTGGATGTTCGTCTGGACATAGGTCCCGGCCAAGTGCCAGCTCATGGAGGGTACAGTGGTCCACCAGAACCACTTGGCAAAACTGAAATTGTAGAATAGTTGAACATATAATGAGGGCTAGAGGTCTCCACAAATAAGTAGCTATCTATAAATATGCCAGAACATGGGCACTGTAATGGCTGAGCATCACAGGGCAGAGGGCCGTGGAGGACTCATAGACATTAGCCTGTCTGTGGTTTCGTCCCGGTAAGCAGGAGAGGATCCATGACAGAGGGCCTGCGCCTAACACAATTGTGAATAAAAAAAAAAATTAAGTCATATTAACAAAATCTCGTCTATGGAGTGGAAGTCTCGGCAACAAAAGGTTTGTTCCGCACTGCTACTTATGGAGAAAAAGTACAACAAAGAGACATCGTAGCGATATAAAATGTAAATGTAAATCATAGAAATGAGTAACGGAAGAAGCCATCTGGATTCATGAGGTCATTCTGCAGAGGCTTCCTGAAAATGTTGAGCTTGTAGGGACTGAAGAGATTAGGAGCTGTGCTGGGATGGTGGAGGAGATTTGCTTGACAATTGTGATCCTCTCCATCGAGATGTAGTTTGAGCCACTTCAACCTGTGAGGGGGGTAGTTCAAGCTTCAGCTCTTGGAAGTGGCGACGCAAGTTTGCTGGAGAAGATGCTTGGAACTGGTGACCTTGATAGGAGAAGGAGATCTTAAACAGAACTCCCCAGTGATAATTGATACCATTGGATTGTAGAATTTGTAGATAGGGCTTCAGTTTGCAATGTTTTCCTATCATGACTGGAGACAAGTCTGCAAATATCTGGCTCAGGGGGATCAGGCACCATCTTGCCTGTTCTCAGGAGCGGGGAGGCCTTCTGTTGTGCCCAGTGTTTGGGCCTATTTTTCAGGGTGTGATGCATAGCAAAATGTTGCCCAGGTATCGTGGAGTGTTACCTGCAGTGGAGAGGTAAAAGAGTCCAATATGCCAAAGGCTAGGTTCCAGCAGCATGGGGCTGGAGGGCTACATGGCCATTTTCTCAATCTGCATGCATGTACCCCTGAATTTCCTTCAATACCCAGCTGGTGTCACCTAGCTTGCACCTCAACATACCACAGCAGAGATTTGAACCCAGGCCCCCATGTTGACATAACCAGCACCGTAATCACTGCACCACCACCTTCTGAAAAACAGGACCTTATCTGACATTAGGTACCCAGGTAATCTACAAAGGGACACAATTACAACAATTACCTTCTGTACCAGTCCCTTAACCTACTAGCAATTACAGAAACCTGGCTTCAAGCAGCAGATTCTGCTTCTACAGCAGAACTTTCCTATGGAGGCCTTCTCTGGACTCACCAAGACCCAGTGGTCGTAAAGGAGGTGGAGTTGGTTTGCATCTATCCCCACTGAGCACCTTTCAAGTCCTCCATAACCCTCCCTCTCTATCCTTTTCTTTCAAGATTCACTGCATTTGGCTGTTTTCTCTCATTTCTCTGAGGATTGCATTGATCTAACGGTCTCTTGGATCGGTGTCCAGCTTTCTTGATGGCTTCTCTGCCTGGCTACCCTACTTTCTTTCCTCTGAATAACCCACTATCATTCTTGGAGATTTTAACATCCCCATTAATGTGAGCAACCCAGCTACATCCCAACTCTTCAACCTAACCTCATCTTTTGCCTTAACACAATGGACACAGTCCTCCACTCACACTGATGAGAATACATTAGACCTTGTTTTCTCCCATCTTTGCACTCACTACAACCTCACAAACACCCCCTTTCCTCTCTCTGATCACAATCTCATCACCTTCACAGTGTCCTCGTCTTCAAACACCTATCCCTCCAAGCAGAAAACAATTACCCGCAGAAATTTTCACAACTTAAACGCTTCTCTTTTCCACTCTGCAAGTGACCGCCTCTATGACAGAATCTCTCCCATCCTGCCCTGACCTGGCCACTGCTGTCTACAACAGTTCGCTTTCATCCACATTAGACTCACTTGCTCTTCTAACTACACAAAGTATCAGACCCCAGCCATTACAACCGTGGCAGACTGACGACACCAGAAATCTTAAGAGACATAGCCGCACACTGGAGCGATTGTGGCATAAAACCAAATCTCAGCAAGCATTCACCCTATATAAATCTGCTTTCTTAACATACAATTCCTCCCTCCATGCTGCCAAACAAGCCTACTTTGTCACTCTTATTAATACCTTGTCATCCAGTCCTCATTGTCTCTTCTCTACTTTTAACTCTCTACTTTCTCCACCTCCACCCAGTAACTTACTCACTACTTAGGAGATTGAAAATCATTTCAAAAACAAGATTGATGCAATTTATAGGGGCATTTCCACTGCATAGACATCTATCCTATTTAGCATACCTTATACTAAACCTCCCTCAACACTTTCCTCTTTTGACCTTGCTACTACTGAAGAGGTCAATAAAGTTATCTCAGAAGCTCATCTCACCACCTGCCCCCTGGATCCTGTCCCCTCACAACTATTACAGGCACCCTCTTCTTCTGTCCTATGCTCCCACCCTCACATCTTCAATCTCTCCCTCTCTAATGGTGCCTTCCCCACCGTTCTAAAGCATGCAC